CACTGTGTTACTCCTTTCTTCAATACACTGAATACACAAATTACATAAGTGCCATTACTAGCAAGGTTAAATTGCTTTGTCTGTAAGATGCTCTGCGAATTCCCTTTCTTTATTATTAACATTTATTTTACCAGAAATCAAAACTGGGCTTCGGAGTTGATATGCAACAACTTACTCCAGGGGCTCATTCCTCCAGGACCAATTGCTGAAAAGCTTTAATGCTTGGTAGAATTGTTTGTCATCAAGTTTATTTGACTAAACTATACAACTATTTTGACCTCACAATCCATACATCAGTTACTTTTTTTTGCCTATTATAGCATATGAAAACTTAATGAACAAATTGAGACCCTTTGCCTGAAAGCTTTCATACTTGGTAAGATGTATATCTGACCATTCCTTACACACAGTTTGTGTGACTGACATGATTGGACTTTGACTATTAATGGCCAATCGGCATCTTCTGTATGCTACCCTTCCAAGACCTTTTGCAGAAAAGCTTTCATTATAAAAATAAGATGTGGTATGATTGCCAATGAGACAACTATCCACCAAAGTTCAAATGAAGTGGATGTAAGCAATTATAGGCAACCATACGGCCTTCAACAATGAGAAAACCCCATACCATATGGTCAGCTATAAAAGGCCCTGACATGAAAAATATGAAAAAATTCAATTGAGAAAACTAACGGCCTAATTTATAATTTTTAGAATTGTATGTCATTATCTGAGGTTAACCATAGTACAGTGACATACTGATGTGACAATTTTTGCAGGAGTTATGGAACTTTGGTTATTTTTGGTGAAAGAATAATGGCACATATGATTAGTATTCATTTAAGACCACATGTCCAAAAGCTTTTATACCTAGCTGCCGTAGATGGATTATTTTTTCATCATGTGAAGTTGATCTCATTATACCACAACTTTGACACACTAATTTTTTCTGGAGTTATTAGACTTTCACGCTTTTTTACCAATTGTTACATAATGACACACCTTTTGTATTCTTCCTAAGTCTTGAAGTTGTAGGTTAATTAGGTTGCCACTCAGTGTACATAACTTCACATTAAAATAAAGTATACTAGTAATACTTATTCTCTCAATATACTATTCTTTCATGGAAACACAAATTTTGGGGATACATTTTTAATTACAAATTCTATCTTAATGGGTTGGTAATACAATTGATAGCCATTTCCTGCAGTCTTCTATTTATTTTAAACTTAAAAGAATTTAAATTGAGGGAAGAAAAGCTTGATTATTCAACATTATAATAAAGTTATAATGCAGTTATATTTTGCATATTTTGCAAGAAACACAGTTTTGAAAATCCATTGTTTCTTCTTTTATTCTCTTAATGTGTATTGTACATGTAATAAAAGCTTTCTTTTCATATCTTATTTCAAAGTTCTATTATTTAGTTTTCATTCCGTACATATAATTGTTTTCCCCCTATATACAATTCTTTCTAGAACTTGTTGAATGAACAAAAAACCAACACAATTACATTTTCTTACAAGGGAAACTATTGCAACCAGCTTTTTACAATTCCTTCAATATTACTCCTAGGACATGCAAATCAATATTTTTTAAATATTTCAGGGAGACAAAACTGGTGCAACTGAGTAGTTTTTCTCCTGAAAACTGGTTTATTCCCGATTGTCCCACTTTTTTAAATTTTAGAGTTCTGATTGTCCCACATGAAAAGTTCTGATTGTCCCACATTATTTTATGAAATAAAATGTTCTTAGATAAACAAGGTAACTGTTGTTTGTTTTGCTAAATAAACAAGAATTTATAATTGCATGTTCAAACTATTATTTAATATTAATTTAAATAAAAAGTAAAACATTTTTTTTTTTTAAATCATTTGATTAATATTTTTGACTTATGAAATATATCTACAATGTTACCTTTATTTATGAAAAAAAATGTCAATACCGTAATTTTACTTAACCTTTCTCTTAAGTTATTGAATAAATTTAGAAATAATGCATGCATTTTAAAAAAAAGTATAACATTATTTACACTCTACGCTCTACACGCACATGTTGATGGAGAGATGTCGCCCCTAGTCTTTGTAATTTTACTATGAAGGTCAAAGGACATTAACACATCATTCTCTACACTTCTGAAGTCTGCTTACACCCAACGTCAGATTCACCAGATCCGAACAACTTTCTTTATTGATAATGAAGCTGCTATTCAGAATTCTGTCAGATCAGCCTTTCCAAGAATCAGTATTAAAGGCTGTTTTTCTAAGGCTGAGAAGACAATACACACACATCAATTAACACCTACAAGAACTCAAAGATCGTTTGCAGAATGATGAAGTTTGTGCTTTTTGTGCTTTTTAGTCCCCTACCAATGTAGTGCTTGAAGATATTGATTTGATATTTGGTGTATTGTTTTATCATGACAAGTTACAGATCAAGTTCGAATTTTGCTTGATATGTGTTATTTTATGACATCATATTATATTCTTTTTTTTATGATACTTCAATTGCTACTATTACGTGCAAAATAAGATATGTAAAAATTATTATATGTTCATGTTATTTGTATATTTTATAAGTTACATAGATTAGTAACCTATAATTAACTGCGACATACTTTAAAAACAAACCAATCACTTTCAAAACAATTCCCGATTGTCCCACATTTAAACTTCCCAATTGTCCCACAAAATTTCATAACTTTTTTACCTGTAATTTCAAAAAGTGGGACAATCGGGAAGACACCTGAAAACTAATATGACAAGAGTGAATTGCTAAATAATATACGGACATAATATTTAAAAAATGATTGCTATTTGGCAATTTCAAAGATCTCAATATTTACATAATTACCAAAAGTAGACAAAACTAATTCTTTTCCATGAAACTTTTGGTACAAAATTATATGTAGCAACTTGGTCAGAAAGATGCTGCAAAATATTTGTTTCTTTATCAGAATTAGAACCTTATCTGATAAAAGGGTATATTATAAACTATATTTGCAGCTCTAGTAAAATTGAGAATGGAAATGGGGATGTGTCAAAGAGACAACAACCCAAGGCGACTAATGGGTCTTCAACACAGCGACAAAATCCCGCACCTAGAGGAGGGCTTCAGCTGGCCCCTAAACAAAAATGTGTACTAGTTCAGTGAAAATGGATGTCACACTTAACTCCGAAACATATAAATGAACTAAATATAATTAAATGTGGATAGTGTCCACATGTGGACACAGATGATGCCCCCGCTTGTATATCATATAGTTATAAAGGAACATAACTGAAGAACGGTAAAAGTGACGCTACCCAAATTTGAACTTGATCTGAGTTTTGTGGTAATAAGCATTGTGTGTAAGTCTCATAACATTTGGTTGAGGCTAACTTAAGTATAGAACAGAAATTAAAAAATCAGCAATTTTTCTATTTGTAAACACAAATAACTCTAGAACGGTTGTGTATAAGTTTTAAAACATTTGGTTGAGACAAACTAAAAGTTAGAGAACGGAAACGAAAAATTCAGCAATTTTATGTTTATAAAGGGACATAACTCTAGAATGGTAAAAGTGTCGCCACCAAATTTCGTACTTAATCTGTATTATGTAGTAATAAGCATTGTGTATAAGTTTCATAACATTTGGTTGAGGCAAACTAAAGTTAGAAAACGGAAACAAAAAATTTGTACTTGATCTTAGTTTTGTGGTAATGAATATTGTGTATAGGTTTCATAATGTTTGGTTGGGGCAAATTTAAATTACAGAATAGAAACCAAAAATTTAGTAATCTTTCGATTTATAAAGGGGCATAACTCAATGGTTAAAGTGACACTACCCAAATTCAACTTGATCTGTGTTTTAATAGTGGAAGTCAAAATTAAACATTGCATTGTATAAAGCATTGATTGTAGTTGATTCAACTATAATCATGAATAAAGGAAGATAATTCCAATTTTAAAAAACTTGATATTTAGAAGAAAATAAAAATTTTGCAATTTTTCCATTTATAAAGGGGCATAACTCTAGAACGGTTAAAGTGACGCCACCAAAATTCAAACTTGATCTGTGTTTTGTGGTAATAAGCATTGTGTATAAGTTTCATAACATTTGGTTGAGGCAAACTTAAGTTAGAGAACGGAAACCCAAAATTTTGCAATTTTTCCATTTATAAAGGGGCATAACTCTAGAACGGTTAAAGTGACGCCACCAAAATTCAAACTTGAAATAAATGATCTGTGTTTTGTGGAATTAAGCATTATGTATAAGTTTCATACCATTTGGTTGAGGCAAACTCAAGTTAGAGAACGGAAACCAATTTTGGGACGTACGGAAGGACGGACGTACAGACGGACATGGGTAAAACTTAATGCCCCCACCGCTACGGCGGGGGCATAAAAACATAAAAGACTAACAAAGGCCAGAGGCTGATGTCAGAACAGGTAACAGAAGAAACTAAGCAAAATGACAATGATACATAATTAGCAAAGGACTACTAGCAGTTACTGACATGCCAGCTCCAGACCTCAATTAAACTGATTGAAAGATGATGTCTTCATCATATATAAATCAAGCACAATCCCTCCCTTTAGGAATTTAGTATCATACCATCATAAAATATATGAGAAGAACATAACCCGTATCATGCCAACAACTGGTTTTAAAATTAATGTGTTTATTTCCGATGCAAAGACCCTATGAGTGAATCAACATTAATTCCAAAATATGCAATCTTAAAAGACCTGACAACAGTATTTTCCATGTTCTCCATGTTCACTATAGACTTACAACTGATTGCAAGACCTGCAGAAATGATCTCATCGGAGACCTAAAAAGATTTTTTTTCCGACACATAATTGATAGGTCAATTGTAAGTATATGTGTTTAAGATATTGTTTGGCTGTAGAAACATGTATTAAAGTTTAATATCAAACAAATCATCGAAAGAAACCACAAATCATAAGGGAATATAACTGTTGAGTTGTACTGTGTTATGTAATATAAAACTATCATATCTTTTCAGTTTATTCAGCATCCATGTAAAAACACCAAATATGAAATGAAACATATGTGTATGAAATGAATAAGAGTACAGGATTCAATCAATTTCATGAATACCAGAATTTTCATGTCTTAGGTTATGTGATTTTGTCCTTTGCACCTATATACATGTATCTGAGCAATCATCATTTATAAGCAATGTTTTGGAATATATATATAAAAAAATTCCAAAGTTATCTCCCCTATTTTGTATCCTCTACATGGTATAAATAGAGCAGTATTAGAAAAATTATGTATTTCATTGATATGAATCTTAAAGTGAAAGAAGAAATCAGATGTTTGTGTGAAATTGAATAGTATATAGAATATATAAAAAAAATGTCATTTGAAATTCAGTTACAAAAGGGGAAATAATTCTATTAAAAATAGAAAAAACGAGGTAATAACAGAAAGGTTAAGAATGGATAACGGGATACTCTTTTATATAAAAATGCAGATTTAAACTTATTTACTAAACAGTTGGTAACTTAACTGATACCTTTATTTTTAACAGTTACTGTAATACAATAATAACTAAAAGGACTTTTATTTTCTGTCAGTTCTGTTTTACCTAGGCATTATTCATAACACAATTTACAGTACTATTTGTACAATAACAAACAAGTTATAAAAACTATATATCAGATCATCAGAGTCTGAGTAAGTTCACAGTGCACTATATGTACATTCTCAAGGTCCCCATCTAAGCACTGCTTCTTGTCAAAATGTTAATTATATTTGCTAAAAAAATTCCTAAATTTTTCATCCATCTTGCTGAATGAAAGGATTTGCAATGGCTTCCATGCCATCTGCAGGACAAATTAAAACTACAGATGTTCCTCGACATACCACTAAACCTAGCTGCCTGGTGTCTTCTGTAAGTTTGTATGGATCATCAGGATCTATAACAGAAATAGGTTTTGAAAGTTGAGTTATCCATTTAAATGCTTAGTTAAAATAAAGATATTGGGTTGATGTAATGGTCTAGGACAAAAGCCCTCCCCCTTTATAATTTCATCTCATCCTTTCAATTATGAAATATATAAAAGAGGGGTTATTTTAAGCTTCTTTCGTATAGAAAACTAGAATTGAAGTTACTTGTACTTGTAAATAAGAGTTTTGTTGTTGTCTTTCGTAATATCTAAATGTTTTTTCGTCTTTCAAGGAATTGGTGTAAATAATTGATATTCTCTGTTAAATTCTTCGAACTATCGTATCTCAATTAAGTATGATTTAGAGCTAAAGTCCCTATACAAAATTAAACTATCAACATTTGTTTTTCTCTAAAAGTGTTTACATCAAGTGTTGACATAAAAAAATAATGCATGTCTCAAAAGTGTATAAATAAAATTAAAAAAATATTTGTGTTAATGGGTTCCTTATACAATAAGGCAAATTGCCTACCCTATAGTTTTTATTGGCATTTTTGATAGTTAATAGATAAAATTGCAGGTGGTCCCCAAATACTCAAGGTTCAAAACCTTAAAAAAATGGTTCCTACCTTTATTTTCTAACAAAGGAAACCCTAAGAAAACATCTTTTTGTTTGTTTGTTTGTTTTGACGTTGACAATGTCCTTACCTCTCAGATACTCTGTACAACCATCTAATACTAAATTTAGCAGTGGATCATAACCTTTCAAAACTCCACTTGCTGCAAAAAATTTGATATAGGATATATATATATATATATATATATATATATATATATATATATATACACATGTATCATGTACATATAAATTGCAATAGTTCTCTCTAGTTTGACAGTCTGGTACATATAGAGACTATAATTGCTTACATCCACTTCATTTAAATTTTCATGGATAGTTGCCTCATTGGCAAGCATACCTCATTTCCATATTTTTATACACTATTACTTTATTCACTTATTTTGTGTCATTTGTATTGTTATATGATTTTGTGCTAATTACCAATGTCATAAGTCAAGCCCTTTCCAACTGATTTTGTTCTTACAATGTGCTGATACATGCCTGTCCCAGGTTTTTTTAGAGATTGAGTGCTAAGTCTAACAACATGTTCTACCCCTTCATTTTCTTTATGTGCCCGTCCTAAGCCAGGATCCTGTTATCTGGTTGTTGTGGTTGGATGCTGTCCTCCATACTTTTTTTCGTTTATTGTTATATATTTAATACAAATCAGACCTTTGGTTTTCTAATTTGAATTGATTTACATTATGTATCCAATGGCCTTTATAGCTTCTATATGACAATGGATTTGACAATTTTAAAGGGCAGTATGGAGACCTGTAACTAATTGTTCACATCTGTGTCCTATGGTCTTTATGGATAGTGGTCTCATTAGCAACCATACCACATCTCCTCATTTACATATACATTTAACAGTTAAAATAAGATTGAAAGTATTAAATGTTGTTTTCACTTTTCATAGTGATAGATCTGCATTTGAAACATTTTATGCATAAAATAGTTTACAATTTTACCTTCTCTTCCTCCACTAAATTTCACTCTAATGGGTTTATCTAAGTATTTAGATAAGTCTAGAATAGTTTCTTTCTTTTTCTTTTCTCTGTCTCTGTCTCTATCGGTAAGCTATAAGGGAATGAAAAAATCTTCAATGAAATAAATCAAACAAAATAAAAAACAAGTCCTACGTATATACTGACCATAACATAACAAATGCTGTTTATAGATTCAACTCAATGTAACACCACTAGATATTTTCAAAAATAATTGTACTAACACATATTCTTTGTTATCTGTTTTGATCCCCAATTTCATTTTTTTTTTTTAATATTGAACTAAAAGAATTTGATTAATGGAATCCCTCATATGAATTCAATACTCTGAAAATCCCTCCTAAACAAAAGGACAGTGAACATGGGATAATGATTTTTGGGTTGGGTAAAAGTAATCTGTATGCATTTATGTCAAAGAGATATATGTAGTAAATAGTCAACTGAATTTGCTTTTGGTAACAAAATCAGGGATGGAGTAATTTAACTACCTGTAAATAATTGTAAATGGCTGTAATGTGTTTCAATTACATATATCTATAATTACAAAAACATAGTACCTGTAGAAATACTATTCTGATATGTTAGTTAAGATTAACAGTATCAATTATGATAATATGGCACTATCTGAACTAATTGAAATGATAGTAAATTTTTTTATCCGGTATCAACATTATATATATTTAACTGTTTACCAAAAGAACGTAAACATACATGTACATGAATTAAGATCATCCATATAGTAATTACTTTCTGAACTCCTCTTTATTATATATAGCACTTCAATCGTTTTTTGGTAGGGATGAGCAGCTGAGACAACCAGTACCCCACCCATTTCTTATTTTTAAATAACAGAAAAACATACCATAATATATATTTCCTGACAAAAAATACACCTGTAGTTATCATGATTACGCTATACACCTTATCGCTATTTGGGAATCTGCAACACTGGACCCGAGAATTTACGACACTTTAACTATAGAGTCATACAACAATCACTTTTCCTTTCTGGCATCAGACATTTTGTTTTTGAAGTCAAAATTTGACCTGAACCTTTGTGATGTCCAGTAATGGCAGACAAATAGGGATAAGGTGTATTTCATGGAGAGAAAAATGGATTAGACAAATTGATTGTTCTATGACATTGTTTAATATAAAAAAAGAAGATGTGGTATGATTGCCAATGAGACAACTCTTCACAAGAGACAAAATGACACAGAAATTAACAACTATAGGTCACCGTACGTCCTTCAACAAATGAACAATGAGCAAAGCCCATACCGCATAGTCAGCTATAAAAGGCCCCGAAATGACAAATGTAAAACAATTCAAATGAGAAAAATAACAGCCTAATTTTTGTACAAAAAAATGAACGAAAAACAAATATGTAACACATCAACAAACGACAACCACTGAATTACAGGCTCCTGACTTGGGACAGGCACATACATACAGAATGTGGCGGGGTTAAACATGTTAGCGGGATCCCAACCCTCCCCTAACCTGGGACAGTGGTGTAACGGAACAACATAAGAACGAACTATAATAAAATGCTCCGCTGGGGCGCAGCTTGATACGACCGCAGAGGTCGAACCCTGAACAGTTGGGGCAAGTATGGACACAACATTCAAGCTTGATACAGCACTGAATTTGGATTGTAATTAAATATTTGACACAGCATAGGTTTCCGACACAGAATGAATGTGGTCTAAGAACTTAAAAATTTTTAATTTATCTATTCAAACCATATCATTATTATTTGCTTTTATATATATAAATCAGAAATAACCAATTTAAAATGGAGAATTTTAAAGAAAATAAAATGCTCCGCAGGGCGCAGCTTGACACGACCGCAGAGGTCGAACCCTGAACAGTTGGGGCAAGTATGGACACAACATTCAAGCTTGATACAGCTTTGCATTTGGATTGTGATTAAATATTTGACACAACATAGGTTTCTGACACAGAATGAATGTGGTCTAAGAACTTAAAAATTTTAAATTGGACATTCACCTATTATGGTCCAATATCCAAAATCTAAATACATGGTTAGATTCAGCATATCAAAGAACCCCAAGAATTCAATTTTTGATGAAATCAAACAAAGTTTAATTTTGGACCCTTTTGACCTCAATGTGGACAAAGTTGATAACGGGGCCCAAAAATCAAAAATCTAAATACATGGTTAGATTCAGCATATCAAAGAACCCCATATATTCAATTTTTGTTGAAATCAAACAAAGTTTAATTTTGGACCCCGATTTGGACCAACTTGAAAACTGGGCCCATAATCAAAAATCTAAATACATGTTTAGATTCAGCATATCAAAGAACCCTAAGAATTCAATTTCTGTTAAAATCAAACTAAGTTTAATTTTGGACCCTTTGGACCTTAATGTAGACCAATTTGAAAACGGAACCAAAAATTAAGAATCTAAATACATGGTTAGATTCGGCATATCAAAGAACCCCAATAATTCAATTTTTGATGAAATCAAACAAAGTTTAATTTTGGACCCTTTGGACCTCAATGTGGACCAATTTAAAAACGGGGCCAAAAATCCAAAAACTAAATACACGGTTAGATTCAGCATATTAAAGAACCCCAAGAATTCAAGAATAAAACCCCATTGAAATTGGTCAAGAAATAAGCAATTTATACAAAGTATCTTCTTTTGCACAATACTGTGCAATTAAATATTTCTTGCTATTGCGCAATACTGTACGATTGATAATTTCTTGCTATTGCGCAATATTGTGCTATTGGATATTTCTTGCTATTGCGCAATACTGTGCAATTGAAGATTTCTTGCTATTGCGCAATACTGTGCAATTGAAGATTTCTTGCTATTGTGCAATACCGTGCAATTGAAAATTTCTTGCTATTGCACAATACTTATTATATAATAATTTACACATCCTGTTTGGTGTGTATCTCCTACCATATCATTATTATTTGCTTTTAAATATAAATCAGAAATAACCAACTTAAAATGGAAAATTTTAAAAGAAAAAAAAAAGAAAAAAAATGAAAAAAAAAATAAATCCCCCCCCCCAAATTTTTTGAACCCCCTTATGATTCATCACCCCCAAACTCAATCCCAGCCTTCCCTTTTTGGTATGGTACCTTGCAGTACAATTTCAGAGAGATCCATACACTTGAACACAAGCTATTGTCTGGAAACTAGAAAAATGTGTTTTTTGGCCCCAAATTCCTAAACAATTAGGGCAATTAACCCCAAACTCAAACCCAGCTTTTCCTTTGTGATATGGAACCTTGTAGTACAATATCAGAAAGATCCATACACTTACACACAAGTTATTGTCCTAAAACTAGAAAAATGCTTGTTTTTTGCCCCTTTTTGGCCCCTAATTCCTAAAATATTGAGGCAATTACCCCCATCATCAATCCCAGCCTTCCCTTTGTGGTATGGTACCTTGCAGTACAATTTCAGAGAGATCCATACACTTGAACACAAGTTATTGTCTGGAAACTAGAAAAATGCTTATTTTTGGCCCCTGTTTGGCCCCCAATTCCTAAACGTTTCAGCAATTACCCCCAAACTCAATTCCAGCTTTTCCTTTGTGATATGGAACCTTGTAGTACAATTTCAGAAAGATCCATGCACTTACACACAAGTTATTGTCATGAAACTAGAAAAATGCTTGTTTTTTTGCCCCTTTTTTGGCCCCTAATTCCTAATATTTTGAGGCAATTACCCCCAAAATCAATCCCAGCATTCCTTTTGTGATATGGAACCTTGTGGTACAATGTCAGAGAGATCCATACACTAACACACAAGTTATGTCTGGAAGTTACAAAAATGCTTATTTTTGGCCCCTAATTCCTTTACTGTTGGTACCATAACCCCCAAAATCAATCCCAACCTTCCTTTTGTGGTATTGAACCTTGTGGTAAAATTTCATAGAGATCCATTCACTTAAACTAAAGTTAGAGTGCGAAAACCAATGTGTCTTCGGACGACGCCAACGTCATACCAATATACGACCACAAAATTTTTTTTGCGGTCGTATAAAAATCAGTTGAAAAAGGCTTAACTCATCAGATGGATACAAATAGAAATACATCTAACAAAAACACAGAGTGGACGTGGCTGGGTACTTGTACATCCCAACAACAAAAAGACACTAAGTACAGATCTGAGAGTACTCGCAGTTACTGACAGCTAGTTCAAAGCCAATAACAACTAATAAAAAACATCATGCATCTAAGACTAAATTTAAGCCCATTGACTGGGTCAACCAGTGTAATTCATTCATAAAAAACATCTTGAGATTGGTCACATAGACAAATCGGCACCTCATAAAGATTAAATCAACCATGTGTTTATTCCACTTGATTGAATCAACCATGTGTTTATTCCACTTGATTGAATCAACCATGTGTTTATTCCACTTATTAGCTTTTAGACCTTAATAAATCCTTGTTCAAAATATGTTGAACCAAAAATTTAAATTACCTGGGACTAATGTAGGTTTGTATGGATGACCTCAATTTGCAAGTTTAGTGTAAAATATTAAATAGAGCAAATATTTGGGACTGTTTTTACAATTACCAATGTTATTCCTGCACTATTTACGAAATTAGTGTATATGATATCTTGAAATTGTTTATTCTTTTTGTTGTTTATTGGTGGACTGTATGGCAGCTTAGTCATTTGGGTTGCTGTCTCATTCGTGTGTATGCATGAATATTGATTTCAAAGAGATTATAGAATTCACTATGCATATACTAGTTTTTATGTAATGCATAGTTCTATTCCGATGGTATTCTAGTATTAAATTAAAACACATAATGCATATTTATCATACTTATAATATTTATTTTAATTATATTCAACAGTTTATAGATACAATAACAGCACTAGTTTTTCATGAAAGGGGAACACATGATAATTGTGAAATATTTTAAATACTGTAAACAGTAAATATAACATATATACAGGCAGCACTATAAGTTTAAAAAAAGTCCCTTTGGTGGTGGTCCATAGACTCTGGCATCTTCAAATTTTACAATCAATTATTATGATTTAATTAAATAATGTTTATTCAAACACCATTAAATTTTGTATTGCAAATTTTTTTTAAAGGGGCATTAGCTACGAGATATAAAAAAAAAGATATGATTTTTTTTTGTTCAATCATTAATGTCAGAAAGTGAAATAGTGAAATAATAATTCACTTTAAGGAGCCAGTTTGGTTCAATTTTGTCAAAATAAGCTAAGAAACATCGCTGATGAATTATTCACTTACAAGTGAATAATTCAACCTCATTGAATCTGTATACATGTGACATTCTATCTAACCCCTTAGCTAGAGATGGGTTACGCATGAACTAGGCATGTTTAGCTATTAAAAGGAAAAGACTGTCAACATTGAAAGTGAAACAAGGGTAAATCATTTGGTTGACTGATTCAATCCACAAAAACTCTTCTTATACAGGTAAAAACGATGATTAACATATTTTATTAACCTATAATATGAAATCAAACAGACCTAGAAAAACCCAATTGCACACATTCGCTATCTATTTATATCTATATCGGGTTATATTACCGTCTGCAGTCATCGGAGGTCACCTCCATAGTTAATTAGATGGAGTCTAGACTAAAATACACTCGAAATGCTGATACATATTATGGAATTCATGCACTGTAAATTGTTTATTTAAGACTTTTTATAATTTGGATATACATTTTAGTATGTTATAAATCAAATATGAGAATTTCAGTCAAATCGGTGAGCATGATTTTGACAGCTAAGGCCCCTTTAAGGATTTTAATATTAATATAAAAATTCTTGATATTTCGTTTTAATTCTTTTATTTTTCTTAACCTTTAATGATAACAGGAAAATATAGAGAGAAAAATTGAGGTGTCGAATTGTCTTAGTTCTGAAATGTCCGAAAAGGTGCCGAAATGTCTTGGTGCCGAAGTGTCTTGTTACCCCTAACTGTTATTAAATCAATCTTCTAACAATGGTTTGATAAATCAATTGACCCCTTCCCTCTACATATTGCACGCAAATCCTGAAGAATTTCATATTTTTTTGTAAAATAATTATTTTTTCACGAAAAGTGAAAACGTCACGTTTCGAAATTCAGTAAAGTTGGTATGCCTGTCTTACTGGTTTCAAATTGTCTCATTCGTGTTTTGCCCTGTGAATTCGGATTCTTAATGAACATTTATTACCTGCTGTTGTGGTTTTTGTGACATTTTCAAAACGTGCAAATTTCGTTGCCGGCAAAATGAAATTAAAACCGGATACGACCAAGGGAAGTAAATGAAACAGTTGGAAAATCTAAAAACCAGAAAACAATATGGTATAGATATAGACCGAACGGACACTTTCTCGTGATGACATCATTGAATTTTCCATGTATTCATGCTTATGTTGTTGATCAATATATTGATACATACACCTAGCTGTATTTGGCAAAACTTTTCGGAATTTTGGGTCCTAATACTATTCAACTTAGTAATTTTGTTTACCATTACTGAGACTACTATATATATATGTCGGTTATTGTAGTCTCAGATCTTCATTATAACTTTTTTGATTCGAGCGTTACTGATAAGTCTTTTGTAGTTGTAGACGGAACGTGCGTCTGGCATACAACATTTCAATCCTGATGATATAAAAATAAGAAGATGTGATGATTGCCAATGAGACAATTCTCCACCAGAGACTAAATAATGTAAAAGTTAACAACTATATTGGTTACCTTACGGCTTTCAACAATGAGCAAAACCCATACAGCATAATAAGCTATAAAGGCCCCGAAATCGTGAGTTTTTTGTAAGAATAATAAAGATATGGGTTAATATAAAATCAGGAAATGTGGTATGATTGCCAATGAGGCAACCATCTTGGCCAACAGAGTTGTCACAGTGAAGACCTGTAAATGTCCTTTCTTATGACAAAGAATTACAAGTGAAAAAATTATATGCCCGGGTCAGAAAAAAGTTTATCTGAATTTTCCTACACTTTATCTTTCAGGTGTTTTGACGGAAATTAAAAAAAAATGAACAAACCAACACAACCACCTCTATAGGTACACTGAGGTATGGGCAGGTATCATGAATATGCGCGGCTTTTACGGCAAACAATCTAATCAACTAGTCTAAAGATATCGTTTTGTTTTGTTTTTTTTCTGTCGTTTGGTAGCTGACTCATGTTTATTTAAATAAAGCCCAAATCTTTAATTTTTTAACAAATTTTCAACAAAAATCAGGCATGTATGTATCCCGGTGCCATGATCTGGCTTAATCAAAGTAGCGCAGATTTTTTTTGCAAAATCCTTATATCTTGTACGTTTTGATTCAGTATCGATTTTCCAATTAATACTTTGAAACACAATTAAAGTTTAACGAAAACCTAAAACCGATTATTATAACGCATAGTTACTTAGTCCAAGTGGACTATGATCTCTCGAAGTAGAAAGGACTGTCACTGGTGGTTGCATTTCTGGAAAACTACAAAAAATGGCTAAAGTCGGCAGCTGAAAACATTGAGAAATGCGACAAGCTTGATTATTTTAACATCTTTGTCATTCTTAAAATTGTCTGACCGCAATCTGATTGAAATACAGATCATGTGTTCACACTCCGCTTGTAAGAGAAGCATGGACAAAGGATATGTATGTTAATCCGATTGGCCTGACCGATGCGTGTAAACAATTGCAAATGTGAAAGTTCAAATGGTGGGCTCGGGTTACTGATTTTTTTTTTCGCGCAACAATAGGTCAGAAAAGATTCAGTGGATAAGCACTGATTATAATTTACAATTGATGTAATCGTTGATACTTTAGCTCAGTTGCAAAAATCCAAGAAAATAAAATAGGAATATATTTCGGAAATCATGTGAAACCACTTGCATAGTAACTTCCCTCGTGACCTCAATGAAATACTACCAATAAAACCATTTAAAACTTTTTGACAATTCGCATTGTGACGACCCCGGAAAAATTGTCTGGATCCGCCTCTTTAAACATGGAAAAGAAAAAAATTGATAAGTTTTTTTCAGATTTTCTTTTTCGTCGTTTTGGAGTTTTTTGTGCACAATAAAATTTTAAAAACTTGTTTAAAAAATACTTGTTTTTGTGTTTTTGTTTATTTACCTTCACTGACTTGTGTTTTTATGGGTGATTACCAGATTAATATATCAGTGATTGGACACTTACAAGTTATGCTAAATAAGCTGAACTCATTAGTCTCAAGCAGAAGCTAACTTGATTTATCTATTATCAGAAGTGGTCCCTAAAATTTCATAAAGACTATATAAGAACAAAGTTTTAGCATGTTTGCATATCTCAATTGATAACCGTCGTCTTTAAAACAAAAAGTAATATAAAATAAGGAGATGTGGTTTGATTGTGATCGATTGTCAATGAGACAACTAACCACCAAAGACAAAATGACGTATAAATGTTAGCAACGTTTGCCTCCGTACGGCCTTAATCTAGAGCAATACTGCATAACAAGCTATAAAAAGCCTTGACATGAGAAAATGTAAAAATATCCAAACAAGAGGCTGTCAGAGTGACAGCAAACCGGATTTCCTGCAGGGGTCGAACCCTGAACAGTTGAGCAAGTATGGGCACTACATTTAAGCTTAAAACAGCTCTAAATTTGGATTGTGATTGAATATTTGACACAGCATAGGTTTGTGACACAAAATGAATGTGGTCAAAGAACTGAAAAATTTGAAATTGGACATTTACCTTTTATGGTCCAATATCCAAAATCTAAGTACATTGTTAAAATCAGCATATCAAAGAACCCCAAGAATTCAATTTTTGTTGAAATCAAACAAAGCTTAATTTTGGACCCTGATTTGGACCAACTTGAAAACTGGGCCCAAAAATCCAATATTTAAATACAGGTTTAGATTCAGCATTTGAAAGAACCCTATATATATTTAATTTATGTTGAAATGAAACACAGTTTAATTTTATCCCTATACTTATTAATTTTCTGTTCAAAGGGAAATAACTCAAACTGAATAAATCATTATAATCAATAAAATTAGATATGATTTGACCACTAAAACATTGTTAGAATTAGCATATCAAAGAACCCCAAGAATTCAATTTTTGATGAAATTAAACAAAATTTTAATTTAGGACCCTTTGGGCCTCAATGTGGTATTATCTAATTTTAAAATAATGAAAATAAATACAGGTTTATATTCGGCATTTCAAAGAACCCTAATTATATTCAATTTATGTTGAAATCAAACACAGTTTAATTTTGGACCCCGATTTGGACCAACTTGAAAACTGGGCCCAAAAACAGAAATCTAAATATATGTTTATTAATAAACAATACAAGCTTAGTTTTTAAAGGAGTTCACTTCATAAAAAAAATTATATATATATATATAGCATTCAGAAAATTAGTTTATACAGAATAACAAACAAACCTACCACAAAATTCTTCAAACAATTTACCAAAGAAAAAAAAATCCAAAATGTCATTTATCATTAATACAATGTCTTTTAAAAATCTATAAAACTTATCTGTAAGTGTAATCAACCTTTATATATATATAATTAACCATTTCAGTTTAAAGGGAAATAACTCAATCACATAATAAGTACCACTTTTGACTAATGGAAAGGGATATAACTCAACAACGAGAAAAGCTAAAGCCGTAAAAATTGAATTTGACCTTCATTTAGTCACAGGAAATAACATATCTAAATTTGAAAAAATTTCGTCAAAGCGTTTTCATGTTAATGAACGGACACTGTTTGGCACCCGACGGCCGCCGTACATCCCCAAATCAATAACCGATTTTTCTTTCGAAAATCCGGTTAACAAGAAAACCAAAGCCTGACTTACGTACAAAACAACAAACGAAAAACAAATAAACGACCACTGAATTACAGGCTCCTGAGTTGGGACAGGCACATACATAATGGGGTTAAACATGTTTGCGGACGCCCAACCCTCACTCCAACCTGAATGGGACAGTGGTGTAACAGGACAACATATGAACAAACTTTAAAAACTAGTTGAAAAGGGCTTGACTCATCAGATCTATACCAAAGCAACAAATAAACAAGAACAACTTACAATAAATTGCTTCGCTGAGCGCAGCTGGATACGACCGCAGAGATCCAACCATGAACAGTTGGGGCAAAAATGGACACACTATTCGCGCTTGATACATGTCTGAATTTGGATTGTAATTAAATATTTGACACATAATAGGTTTCTGACACAGAATAACTGTAGTCAAAGAACTTATAATTTGTTATATAATTTTGAATTTATATTCAATTTTTTGCTTTTGTGCAATACACTTTGCTGTTGCGAATTGACCCACCCCCCAAAAAAAAATTACCCACTTTTTTTTTGCTTTTGTGCAATACACTATGCTGTTGCGTATTGAACCCCCACCCCCGGCCCTTTTTTTAACAAAAAAAAATATATTTGAAGAAATTATCTTTTTATTTTCTGAAATCTGAAATGAGAACCCCACATTTTGTTTCACTTCCCTCCTTTCCCTTTTTTCCAAAAAAAAATCTTTCCCTCAAGATATGGTCATTTCAAATTTCTAATGGAGTTTGCAACCATAATTACCCATTTAAATACATCATAAAAGTCTTAAAATAGAAAATGACATACATAACCAAAGCTAAAATTGATATTAATTAATAGTAACTTCTAAAGATAAATTGACAGCTAATCACCTAGAGACAATACATTATTTCTTTATACATAATTTACAAGCAGTGTAAGGGAGGTAATCTAAAACATACACAATATTGTTCTTTTAATGTATTTTGATTACCTCCCTTACACTGCTTTAAAATTGTATTAATTGTCAATTAACAAGGAAACCCTTGTTTTCCCCCTTTTTTGCTCCTAATTCCTAAATGGTTTGAGCCATAACCCCCAATAGTAAATCCTAACCATTCCTTTGTTGTATGGAAACTTGTGGTATAATTTCAGAGAGATTCATACACCAAAACACAAGTTATTGTCTGGAAACTACAAAAATGCTTATTTGGGCCCCTTTTTTGGCCCTTAATTCCTAAACCGTTGGGACCATAACCCCCAAAATCAATCCCAACCTTCCTTTTGTGGTTATAAACCTTGTGTTAAAATTTCATGGATTTCTATTCACTTATACTAAAGTTATTGTCCGGAAACCAACTGTCTTCGGACGACGACGACGCCGACGACGACGACGACGTGATACCAATATACGACCGCAAACATTTTTTGCGGTCGTATAAAAACAATAAAGGCATAAAGTATCGACCTGAGAGTACTCGCAGTTACTGAAAGCTAATTCAAAGCAAATTACAACAATAAAAAAAATCATGCATCAAAGAAAAAATATCAATCGGTACATATCTCAATTTATGCAAAGACGTCATAAACAGCTTAGGAAAACATGACCATGTGCAATGCCAAAATATAAGTATCGACAGGATGTAGAACCGTAAGTGTTAATAATTGTACAGGAATAAATATTTAGTTGTTTAAATTTATTGATAAAAAGTTGTAAAACGATTGCAGGGAGCACGTGGATACTGTCACATTAACTACACTCTCAACAGAAGACTTCATACACACTGGATGAGCCATATCATCATATGAAAACTGATGGTAGCCATCGTGAGAAGTGCTTTGACATTCCGAATAATTGACACTTTGATGGATGCTGCATGCAGAGAAGGATACGATAATCCTTTCATAGCATACTGCATAAAAGAATCCCGTTTATTATACATAAGTAGTTTGGCAATGTTCTTTGTTCACCTCTATCCGATAGGTATTATTAAGTTATTTTTCGTGTCCTGTAATGTATTTTTGCTTTAAATATGAGTCGAGATATTTTGACTATGGTGTTACAGTGTTGTCTATCCTTCTTTGCATAGTGGTTTGTATTGCCCCTTGGTATCTTCTTTCATTTGTATACCAACACTATCATTGTTTTCATTCTAGTTGTTTTACCAATCTTTGTCATGACTGCAAAATGTATGCTGTTTAAAATCAAATATGTGCAAATTGTGTTATAATATCATAGTTTGTTTATGTGAATGTCATATTGCCCATCAAGGGCCGTTAATTGAAATAATAAATATTCGTAAGCTTATTCTTAATACTACCGTTTCCATTTAATATGAGTTTTTGTCCCTCAATCTGAAAAATAGGGGAATGTGGAGTAAAGGACAAAATTTACAAATGCTATACATAAATTGGTATTTAGGCATGGACATAACATGTTTCTACAAGAAATGGATTTCAAAATATGCTTGAAAACAACGTTGTTTTTAAGTATGGATAGTAAAATAAAGGATATTTTCAGAGCGGATAAATTCACCTAAAACAAGGTCATATCAGCTTAGTAGTGTTCAGTATGTGGTATAAAAATAAAGAAAGAAAAAGCCGAAATTGTATAGGGTAAACAATGTTTGAATTTAATTCTGTCAATACTCCACTGCTACATGACAATCAAAATAAAATAAATCCAAAGAATCTGATCATATAGAATTACAAAATAAATGAAGATTCAAACAACAGTGAATCCAATAAAAGATAAGGCAATGTCCAAAGAGTTTAACTGATTATATTGGTGATCTGTGTATACAATGCATCCAGGCTACATGTTAGTCCCAACAAATATTACTCATATGTCTTGGATTTTCATTGTCTAAGGCGTACTTCTGTAGATATGTACACGAAAGTCTCATTGTAGCTCCTTCCGAGACAAAATGCTCAAAAGCCGTCTACAAAATAAAAAAAAAACTTTTTAAAATTGATATATCAGTTTGAGTATTGTAAGACAGATTACATATTAAAATAAGGAGATGTGGTTTGATTGCTAACGAGACAACTATCCACCAAATTTCAAATGAAATGGATTTACACAATGAAAGCAATAATATTCATTTCTGTGCCCAAAGTCTGGGTACCATGAAATCTTAATTTAAAACAGGTCAGACACGAGCTTCCTAGTCGGGTTTCATTTATGATGGTAACTAGGCAAAGGAATATGATGTTCAGTAGTTGTCGTTTGTTAATGTGGTTCATAAGTGTTTCTCGTTTCTCGTTTTTTATATAGATTAGACCGTTGGTTTTCCCGTTTGAATGGTTTTACCAGTGGCGGATCCAGAGGGGGGCGTAGAGGGCGTACGCCCCCCCCCCCCCCCCCCCCTTTGCTTGCACTTTTTTTTTTTTTGTAAAATGATTAATCAGACTAGACTTCGTGAACTTTGCCATTTTCCGCGTATTTAATTTTTATGCGGCAATTCTTTACTTATAAAGATAAGTTTCGCTCGTATTTACTGTAATATATTATTGATTATGTCAAAATCATGTGATTCGCTACGGTGGAGTTGACCAGTGCGTCGATAAAACGTCACTCAGTCATTTTGAAATTCAAATTACAGTAACACATTGCTTAGGCTGAGGATGACAAGAATGCTCCGTGTTGAAGGCCGTACCTTGACCTATAATGGTTTACTTTTATAAATTGTTGCTTGGATGGAGAGTTGTCTCATTTGCACTCATACCACATCTTCCTATATCTATGACACCTTCAAAGCGACAAAGGATTGAGCAAGAACGTATTTATTGACTTCTATTTCACAATTCCACCGAACAGAAAGTTTTACTCTATTACACTTTCATGCAAAAAAAGTTCCACAGCAATATTATTTACCTACGAAAACATGTTTAACCCAACACGCCCCAGCCTATTAATAACATAGCTGAATAATGATCCCCAGTCAATAAGCTCTAGATAGATTTAAAGTCTAAGGTACGGACCATTTGATTTGAGGGGGCAGTCTGAGATGTTTGAGAGAAAAAATTCTGACCCTGATTTTAGCCTTAAACAAAAATTCTGGCCGTATCTGGATTGAAAACAATAATCTTGTCCACTTTTTTTGCTATTAGAAACAAAAATTTCCAACAGAATTATTTAGCATTAAATGAACATGATGAATAAAAAAACGGGCGTAATTTTTTTGGGGCCAGAGGTTTGCATGTAAATCCCATATCTGACCGGAATGTCTGTTTCGTCGAACTGATAAAATGAATACTTTTTCAAGGCCCGACTGCAACCTGCCTGCTGGGTGTGGCCTTTATGTCTCCATTTGTCGACCGTCATTCATATATTCGATGTCATTTCAGACTCATTCGTAGCCTTTGGTTGATTTGAAATCCCTCACTTCCCTTGTTGGGTGAAACATTTCAATCAAACATTTGGATAAAAATTGCTTATTTGTCTTTCTTAACTCGTGTCGGTCGTATTGTAAATTTCATTGAATAGCCCGGCGTATATCTTGTTTACAACAAGAAATCTGTGACGTTATGCTAACTAAACATACAACAAACGAGAATTTTCCATGTCAATTTTTTACTGACAAGTCCCACATCAAATATATTAGTACATAGCTTTGGATCCATCCAATCATTTTATAATAGACAATTAATGGGGAGAATACGGCATCAAAAATGTCCAACCCTTACACTTTAACTATAAAATATACATGCCTTACGTCAGGAACCGTTAAAAAAGTGCATTTTACACTTATTTTATGTTTTTTAGCCAAAAAAATGTTCGCCTCGTTCCGCTCGGCGATCTTTACATACTTCGCCCCCCCCCCCCCCCCTTTCCAAAATCCTGAATCCGCCCCTGTTTACACTAGTGATTTTGGGGGCCCTTTATAGCTTGCTGTTCGGGGTGAGCCAAGGCTCCGTGTTGAAGACCGTACTTTGGCCTATAATGGTTTACTTTTATAAATTTTGACTTGGATGGAGAGTTGTCTCATTGGCACTCATACCACATCTTCTTATATCTATAAAACACATTTGATTCGGTACTTAGGAACTTCATGTTTAAAGGATACACGAACTGTCATGATGCATTGTTAAAATAAAATACAACTGAAACTTATTGTGCAGTTAAAAACCCGGTCTTGGTTTTACACTAATCACGTTATAATATTTACAATAGTTGTTCAATTCATACAAACGTTGATCTTTTTAATTTTACTGCTGAAAGATGCATCCAATGTGTATGAAAACAATTCAATATGATAGAATTACAAATCCCCCCCCCACCTTATAAATGAGGGGCCTGATTGGGGGGAGGGGGGGTCTCATCACGATTCACGAGTTGATTTTTTTGTCAATCACGATTCACAGAAAATAAATTTCCATGATCACGGATCACGAAAATATAAAAAAAAAATAAATCTGTAGAAAAACGGATCACGATAGCGAAAATGCGCCGATCACGAAGAACGAAAATAACCCATCAGGCCCCTCATAAATCAACACTATATCAACACTTGTGTGTGTACTTTGTGCTATATTCTTTATTCCATCAAAAAATACATGCTGTTGAATATATCGTCCAGTGAAAATAATATTTCAGAATACTTCTTCCTTTTGGAATTAATAGTATAAAGGAACTTCTATTTCTTAGCAGTTGTAAGTTCTTAAACGCTAAAACCTAAACAACATATGAAAAGTTCTAAAACGTCTAGGCAAGACGTAAATGAATTTAACAAAATCAGCCGAATAACTGACACCAATAAGACAAAAACGCCAATAAAAGTAAACAACAATCACATCGACGAGAATTTCTATAATTGGGACAGACTCATTAACATGTTATGAAAAGTTGTAGCTTCTCGTACAGCACAACATCAAAGCGAGCCTGTGTCACCATAATCACAACCTTGCATTGCTACATTTCATTCCCACTATATAATCAAAAATACCTCGGCTAATAATTTGGCTACACCATGACCTCTAAATTCTTCCGGTACAAAAGTATGCTGAAGATCGGCAAAGTTCGGGCGCTCCCATTCATATGTCAATATTGCTTTCTTGTTGCTTTTGTTTTGCTCATCTGAAATACATAACAAAATTGGCTTCGTGTTGTGCGGCTTGCGTTCACTTCTATAAGAGTCTATATGATATCATTTCAATCCAGACCAAAGAAAAGAAAGGGAATTAAATCTAACAACTAATTTGAATAGTAAAATGGAGACAGTATTAAGCCTGCCTGTACTTCCTTACAGTATTTCTTTGTATGGAACAATGTCTCTGATTACGATCAAACATGAAAAATAGACATACAATGTAATCGGTCAATGTCACTTACAAGTACAAACTGCAGCTAACGAAAACACCACCATGTTATTTTGGTTTTGTATTTTAGCAACTGTTCATTTACCGAACATGGTCATGGTCCATACAACCAAAAACTGTAAAGTGCTCTCAATAAGCACTTAATGATTCAACTTCATGATCAACTCTCAGAGTTCATATTTTCGAAAGATCAGTGCAATGCAAACTAGAGGCTCTAAAAAGCCTGTCTCACTCACCTAGGTCTATGTCCATCTTCAACAATGGACCCTCTCCATCATTGTGGACTAGAAAAGAATTCATGACAAAAGTCTCTTTTTTTATTGATCTTCTATTGCTGATATTATTTTTCTGTTTACAGTTTCTCTCTCTCTTCCTTAGTTTTTGCCCATAACATAGAAAAGGGTAAAAAAATCTTCATTTAAGGGCACTCACTCCTATCAAGAGTCAAACAACCATTTCTGCAAAAATTTATAGTTTTTAAGTTAATAGGCAAAAATGCAAAATAAACTGTCATTAAAGAGCAATAACTCAAATAAGAAGTCGACTGACGATTTTGGCCATAATAAGTTATTTGTAGATCTTGTCTCGCTTATCATTTTTTCATATTTTAAGATTACAGTTTATCTTTCTATTATAGTTTTTAAGCTATTAGGCAAAAACATAAAAAATGGGAAAAAATTGTCACTAAAGGGCAATTACTCCAATAAAGAGTCTACTGACGATTTCGACCAATAGTCGTCTTTGATGAACTTGTCTTGCTGATCTTTTTTGCTTATATAAGTTATTATCATGTGTATTTAAGATGTTAGACAAAAACGCAAAAAAAATGTAAAATCGTCAACAAAGAGCAATAACTCCAATAAGGAGTCTTCAGACGATTTGGATTATGCTGATATACTTGTAGATATTGTCTTTCTGATCATTTTTGCTGTTTAAAGTGTTTATTTAACACTATATCTTCAATAGTTTTCAGGAAAATAGGCAAATCGCAAAAAATGGGTAAAAATCGTCATTAAAGGGCAATAACTCATGAGAGAAGTCGTTAGACTATTTCAGCCCTGTTGACTTATAATAGATCGTTTTTTAGAAAAAAAAATAGTAAAATTCGTCATGTAAGTGGACAATATGTAGATCTCATCAGCAATGTTGAATGACAGGCGGGGTCATCAGATACATTTTTAAACCAGATACTCCAATGATGATTGTTCCCAAGTTTGGTTAAATTTGGCCCATTAGTTTCAGAAGAGACGTTTTTTTTGTAAAAGTTAACAGGCGACGACGACGGCCAGGTGAGCTAAAACGGGAAGGGGTTACGTATGGCACAAAAAAGGGACTGGAAGTTGCTCATTTAACAATTATCTGCCAATGTCGGAATGGGGTTTCATTTATTCAGCTTTTCTCGCATTTGACCGAAAGACAAGGTACTGTTTCCTTTGTTTTACATATGTTCAATTTATTTCCCCCGAAAAGGGATGAATAGTAAGAGGGTGTTCAGTAAAGTAGAAGGGTTGTCATCCCGAATTCCCGAAAAAAAATTTATAAAGCATTATTTCCCTGATCCCGAAAAAAAAATCAATCATTATTTCCTGAGTCCAAATAAGTGTAAACCCCGAATTCCCGCAATAAATAAAGGCCCAATCGTTCCGAAAAAGGTCCTTCCGCCATGTCCGCCCTTCAGTAAAGTTGTCATATAAATTTTCGCTTCAATCAGCTGAACTTTCTTAGCTACATAATTTTTCATTAATATCCGTTTGTTTTAAATATGTCACAATAAATATCAAATTATTAATGAGAAATTAGAAAAGGCATTCGCTATTTTACTTTAGAAAATAAACTATAAAATTTTGTTTTCATCTATAGAAATCGTTAAAAGATTTGGCTAGTTAATGACATGTTGTCTTTTTTAATTGCTGGTTCAATTACATGTAACGTACTACTTACATGTATACCAAGTGATCCTAGATCTATATCAATTATTATTCAAAATGATCCAGAACTTGAGGGTAATTTTAACAATTATATATAACGTTAACAATTATCATAAAACAGGTAGCAAAAATTTAAAACAAATATAGCCAAAAGCAGGAATATAATTCAGCCATGAGACAGCAGAGTTTTGTATTTTGTATTCAGATAAAATTGAACGCACCTGTAGTCATTCTGATATAGAATTCCTTGCCATCTTTGTCATGACCAATACTTAAAGGCATTTCAGATTTGGACTTGACGTCTTCTTTCCTCTCGTGTAACTTTTTACTGTAACTTCTCGTAATCATTCTATTCGTATCGTTTCCCAGATTATTGTTTGCATTTTCCATGATGACAACATTTGATAAATGTCCTTTTTGGATTGACTGAATATGATTACGTGGAATTAACGTCATTTGAATGCATTTCCTAATAGCGTGAACGGATTTCATTTCATTTCTTCACTATTGACCTAAGAACAACACCACACCATTAGCTTTTAATATATAAATATAACTGTGATAAGATAACAGAAGTTTCTGATAGCACCGGAAGTTATGCTGTTTAAGGAATAGTACTTTACAGCAAAAAAGAATATAGCCGAAAACCTATTATAAATATTACAAAATAAGTAAAGCAACGTACAAAAATAATGTTGTTATGACAAACCACTAACTATCCTTTCCTTTATATGTTAAATTCTATAATGTCACACGTTTGTGATATTTTCACCTTCAGTTAAATCATATCTGTTATGTTATCTTTTTTTAAAAATTTATTTACTATTTGATAGATAAAAAGCATAAAAGGGAACGAAATCAGCTTTATTAGTAAAAGTGTTAATAATTATTATCGAACCCATTACAAATTAGTAATGGCCATCCATTAACCCATTATGCTCATCCATTGGCTGAGCCAGATAAGGTAAACGTTCGTCTGTTACGTCCACTAATGGGGGGGGGGGGGGTCTACAATGAAAGCTTTCTATTCTTTGATATTGTTGTTAGCTGCATTTTTTTGTGTTAATATTGAAATAAACATTTCTGTGAACATTAGAAGCATTTCCTCCCTACCTGATATACAGTATACGGCCATTTTAAAATTTATTGCTAAAATTAAAATAGGTCAATCATAATCATAACATATATTACTTTTAATGCAAGTTTTACAAGTAAAATTTTGAGAGATTGATTCAGACACACAACTAAATACACTGAACATATATATTATATGTATAATTTTTTATAAGACTTTTTTGGCAAAATTTTCCTACTGATTTAGTATATTTCTGGGAATGGATGAACTAACAAACATAGTAAATGCAAGAATGATCTGACATATTCAGTATAGAATGTAACTTATTCTTATAAAGAACTGGTTTAAAAGGAAAAATGAGTGTCAATATTGGTGTATATTCTACTGAAAGCTCTATTCTTCCAAACATGTTGCATCTTTACAGTTTTTGATTTTTGAAAAATTTGTATATTAAGAATTTTAGTAGATAAAACACTTATTTTGTTCTGCTCCAGGAACCTATATTCACTACAAAAGAGGCAGTACTTTCTTTTTTTTAAAAAAAACACTATAAATGTGTTTGGATATGTAAATTTGCCAAAATCAATATAAATTTGAAAGATAGAATTTTCAGACTAATCAGGTCATTTTTTTCATTTGCGGTCTATGCCTAAAGTTAGAGTACATTTATTTGACAGTGAAATTATATGATTGAAGGGTTATTGGGATGATTTTAAGATTGAACCATTTCACTTGAAAATTACGTACCCATTTAAGATAAATTAAGATAAAGATAAAAACCTTTTTTTTCATAATCAGTTTAGGATTTCAAATATATACACTACATAGACGTTTAAGAATTGAATTCTGAAAATTTTCGCTTCTTCAATAACTTTGCAAACACTACTGTTTATTTGTTAATGCTTGCACAAAACTTGTGAACCAATCATTCTTTCTACACAACCTATGCACATACACTTTAAAATTGTTATTAATGACATACAAATTCATGATCCTCAGTGATCCTGTTGACCTAATATTAATCTACTCTCACTACTCATCATTAATGATATAGGAAGTTATATTTTATAATTTAGAGATGCTACATTTTTTATACTATTAATAAGTGATGTTATTAAAATATCAACTGAGAAACAAACAAATACACTATTTTAGTATAAATAAATAAATAAAATACATGTACATTTTCCTTACCAAATTTACAGTACTTTCTGTACCAAGACATACTGAACAAACAAAAATGACTGGATGAAATGTTGGGGCAAGTTTTTGAAATCAGCATATTTTCACAACATTTGTACCTTAATCAATACAAGTCATATTTTTCTTGTGTATCTTTATCAAGTTTTATAGACTCTGAATAAACCTTTAACTCTGAATTGTAATGAACATTTTTTTTTTACATTTATGAGTTTGCCCTTTGAACTTTGACATTACCCTTTTCATAGTTGTGGCATACCCATGTTTGACTATGTAACAAAGCAGTTCAGTTGATATCATGTTATCAGGGTTTTGTTACCCATTAAACAGACAATTAGACCTCTGACCTTGAAAATTAAGTATACCAAGTTTTATGAAGTTTAATTTCTCTATATCTTGTAAAAATGATGGTATATGAAAGTAATCATTTTAGTATGTATCATATGAAGTTGTTGATTACTTAGAGAGGCACATATATCATACCACACTAATTAAACTAATTTGTCTGCAATAATATCTAGATCTATAGCTAACCTTGTCTACAGAGTAAAATAATGCAGCACACATTTTGTATGATTATTAAACATAATAATCTTTGCATCAATCAAATAACAAATATTGCATCAGTTAGAAATCAAATATATGTTCTAATTATGTACTGAAACACTGAAACAAGTTTATAAAGAGATTAATTCAGACAAAAGTCTTGTGTACCACATCATTTGGCTACATCTCACTCTAACTTTAAAATTTACACATACCCACCAACAAGATCCTCTCACATGACCCGTAGATCTAACAAAAAAAAAAAGTAGAACATGTCACCATGACACATTAGTAAAATATGTCTTATTGTGGTATTACAAACAGAATATTTCCTTTCCATGGTGCTGATAGATACATTTATCAGCAAATCTTAATTCAAAAAATAACTGATTGATTTACTATGAATATGAAATAAATTAGAATTCTTGGTCACACAGATGTCTCCCTAAATACTCCTGTATATTTACCATTTTGTTGACGTATATGAATGTATTTAGTTGTGTCAACATGAGAAATTTTCACTTGTGTACTAGGGACAATAACTTCTGTTGCAGTAGGGAGCTGTAACAATTCAGGGACAGAAACTGTTGGTGCTGAAAAAGAAATATGAAAGACATTAACAATTTTCTGCTTTGGCTTTTTTAATTTTTTTTTTGTCAGTTCATGCAGAATATTTACTGGTATAATTTTCATTTAAGGCAAACTCATGTCAAAGAAATCATTCTTTGAAATCTTTTATTTCATACTAAGAATCCGATACTTTGGACCATGTCACCCTACACTTATTATGTTTATGAGCAAAAATGCTTCCAAAGGGCTTACATCCCTCATTTTGCACATATACCATATGCATAATTCTATATTTATAATAGGGATACTATCCCAAAACAGGATTACAACAGTACTAATTTACTAATACATGTACATGACCAAAACTGGCTTAGAAAATTGTGGAATTGCAATGACAATGATTGATGTTGTTTACACTTTAAGTTCTAGAGACAATATCTATAATAGAAAATAATTACTGAAAAGGTTCATAAAGTTGACTGTGCCAAGCACAATTCAAAAGAGATGACTTTTTACTGTTAAATCTATGTCAAGTAGTAGAGTTGAACATCGTTTGATTTTGTTCAGATGAAATATTCATAACATCTACAGTATATACATGTACTTTTATAAGTCGATCCACTTATCAGTTGATTTACATTTTCATGTCAGAAATCCAAAAATTAGCAATGACCCTTCTATAATATCATAGTTCACGAGGTAAAATGGTAGAATGATTAAATGAACAATTATGTGACAATCATGTGGTTTCACTTTAAAATAACAAAAAATCCAATTTGTTAAAAACAATTAAATGACAAAGAATTGGAGAAATCATTTTGTTACAAATCTGTTCTTACTTAATACTGTTATAACATCATATTTTAGTTTGTGTTGTATTTTAGTATTTCATCCACCTTATTAATAGTTTACCATGCATTTCCATCATTCTGAATAATATCATTAGCATAAATGAAGCTCTGTATAATACAATTACACAAAATACATACATCATCTGGACAATATTATAGCAGTGAGTTTTGTTAAAGTTACGTATCATTTTACGGAGGTTTGAAAAAGATAATACTACAAATGGATCTTTAAATGTATCTATCATCCACTAAATGTATCTATCATCCACACAAAATCCGAGCTTCAAAAGGATTTATTAAATATAGTTTTTATTCAATTCTTTTTATTTGTAAATTTCATTATACTCACTCAGTTTCGACTGACTGATTTGGTACACAAAATGACAAATTCCTATATACTAAAATTTTACTTATATAGACAAGGCACTTATGTTACACAAAAGTGCACACGCTGAAATGTCTTGCCTACTATATTGACCATTGATTTTAATATGTTGATAGTCCTAAATATAAAGTTTTACTACAAGTATCACATTAACATTTATGATCCAAGAAAATGAGGTCAAGGTCAGATAAACCAAGCCTGAAATACATGTACACCTTTAATACAATCATTCCATACACCGAATATAAATGAACTATTCTGCTTATAGTATAAAAGAAACAGACCAAACCATGGAAATTCTATATTGACCAATGAAACATGAAAATGAGGTCAATGTCATATGAACCCTGTCAGACAGACATGTACAATTTAAAATCATTCCATGCATCAAATATAGTTGACCTATTGCTTGTAGTATCTAAGAAACAAAGTTAACCAGGAAAACTGAACATTGACCAATGAACCATGAAAATGAGGTAAAGGTCTGATGATACCTGCCAGACAGACATATATGCCTTACAATCATTCCATACACCAAATATAGTTGACCTATTGCTTAAAGTTTAAGAAAAACAGACCAAAACACAAAACCTTAACATAGACCAATGAACCATGAAAATGAGGTCAAGGTCTAATAAAACATACCAGACTGACATGAACATCATAAAATATTTCCATACACCAAATATAGTTGATATATTGCATACAGTATTAGAAAAACAGACCAAAACACAAAAATTAACTTTTACCACTGAACCATGAAAATGAGGTCAAGGTCAGATGACACCTAACAGTTGGACATGTACACCTTACAATCATTACATACACCAAATATAGTAGACCTATTGCCTATAGTATCTGAGATATGGACTTGACCACGAAAACTTAATCATGTTCACTGACCCATGAAATGAGGTCGAGGTCAAGTGAAAACTGTCTGACAGGCATGAGGACCTTGCAAGATACGCACATACCAAATAC